CCCGGGACGTCACCTTAGGATGTTTCATCCAGGTCACCTTGGCTGGCAAAGAAGACAAAGATGCGCTGCGACCCGGTCCAGAGTTGCCCCTCGGTACACGTTGATGGTAAAGCGTTTTGTCGACGCGCTTTCTTAAGTTAATTCACTCAGAAATCAAAAGACTCGGTAATGAGTCTGCGTTAGAAGTTGCGGTTCAGCTATTCTGCCTGGCGTGGCAGAAACAGCGTGAGAGAAGGGGGGGGGGGGGGGGGGGGGATTGAGCCCATGGGCTCCGTTCCCCGTTAGCGGTTGTTCACAAGTCCTCTCTCTCTCGTGGCCCAACACGAACTGCCTCATAAGACTGAAAACTTACCAAAAACCTTTCTCTTCTCAAAGCAAACGTGCGTCATCAAATGTCTGGAGTTTACTGTGAGCAGGTGTGTGTGGATGTGTGTGAATGTTTGTGCTTGAGTGTGTGTGAAGGTCAGTAACAAACATTCTCAACATTATTTAAGAATGGATTCATTAAACCATTATAATTACCCCAAAGCTAAATAGTCATTCATTTGATTAATCACATTTATAATGAGCAAAATGATAATGGTTACTTTAACATTAAAATCAAGAAAAAGAAGTTTAAACTTTATGTTTTGACTTGGTCTGGGTACAACTCATGTAAACACATCTTCTGGTAGACTGCAGGTGGCAGATGTTATGGTTTCCTCCCAGACTCGCTGGCGTTCAGGTCTTAATCTGTGGGTGAAAGTTCTCAGCGACCCAGCTTTGACACAGCTGAGTCCAACATCACCTTTGTGATAGAAAACCCATATTTCCTCATGTTACAGTGGCGTATTCATCTCTCAACGCTCGGCAGAGCGAGGAGTACCGATCTCGAATGTCAGGTGGTAGAGTTTCCATGAAACCGTGCACCGTTCTAGATGTGGTTTTCCAAATTAGCTTGAGCTTTTCCCTTGAAGAGGGTGCTGGAAGATCAAGCAGACAACGTTCTATCTCCCTGAGATAATCGTCGACATTGGATTCACTGGTGTTAGGATCAAAGCGTTCTATGTCTTTAGCTAGCGATTCAATTTGACGTACACGGAGCCCTGACTCACGGTACGGCGCGTCATCCTCTGACTCTGACCCACGGTCTGTCTCAGAGGGAGCTGGATATCGCTGGTGTGCTCTGGGCTCCCAATGTTGACTCCTGGGGCCCAAATTGGGGTCTGGCATGCTGTGGCGGGCTGCTGGCACGTCACGTGGGTGTCCTGGGAGGTCCTCCTCCCGGGGCACGTCTGCGTAGTGCAGCCTGCGTCTTTCAACTGGGGCATCTGCGTAATACGCTCTGTCCGGGTACGGACTGGCGTATGATGCTTGGTCATGCAGCTGGTTACCGGCATGCCGAATACCGGAGTAGCTAGGATGGGTGGATGGTTGAGGTGCAGGTTGGGGTGCATAACCCCAATCGGCACCTTGCACCCTTCGTGGACTGGGGGAGCGGTCTAAATAGAGGTGCCGCTCAGCTGGTCGACTTCTCACTGATTGAGAAGGCCGTGAAGATGAGGGTGGTGGTCCAACCTGGGGTTCGAGGGCGAACTGCCCTCGGCCCCTAAGTGGTCCTGAATGCCCTATAGTGTGTGTAGGGAACGGGGCCGAAGGTTGGGACAGATGAGCTTCATCTCTCCCCTGCAGCGTGCGTCCGTCCAGAGAGTCATGGTGTTTCCCCCCTTCCCACTGTCTGTTGTCATCAGCAGAGGGGGGCGGGGTCTCCTCCCAGTTGTCCCCAGAATCGGTGCGGGTGTCGTCTTCCTCGATCAGCCTTCCATTTCGCTGTTTTTCAGCTAGCATACTCTGGAGGTTCATGATCTTCTGACCACGTTGAAGGTCTATCTGATAGAGGATCAAGGCTAACTTAGCCAAGGACACCTGGATTGGTTTTGTACCATCCGGGTTTTCTATTTGATCAATTACAGCTTCTAGCTCGTCGCTACGCTGTTCTTCAGTGAAATCCCTAGAAGGGTAGTCGGGTTCTCGAGCAACCACGACCAGTTTGGACAATATTTGTCCAGAAAGTAGGCCAGGTTCATAGTCGTGGGCCGCAGCGCCACCTGGTTGCTGGGAGTTGGTCAGTTCACTACTCTGTCCCTCCATTTTAACAACCGAACCAAAAATAGCCAAGTAGAGCTTCTGCAGATAGCTCAAAGCTGCACCTTTTGGCAGCAACTGCTAGCTTTGTAGCAGAAAACACTAAATTAACCTTTGTGCACACAGATTTTAGCGTTTTAAGATTGCACGGAATGCCGTGACTAACGCATAAAATACTATTCCTTTCAGTATTTTAGCGAAAGCTGGTGCGTTGCCGTAGCAACGTCTTACAACACTTGGGTGTTAAATATGCTAGTTATTCCTTCAGAATATTAGCAAACAGGGTAATATCAGTCTTTGAATGAAGGTTTCAGTTAGTTATAATAGCCACTGTGAGTTAAAGTCGCTAAATTAGCAGTTAATTTTAGCCTAAAAGAGTTAGACAGAATCACTTACACACTGCACCTTTAATGAGGAACTGAATTTTAACCTAAAAGGTTAGCCAGAAATTATTACACGTTGCACCTTTAAGGAAAAACTGAATTTTAACCTAAAAGGTCAACCAGAATTAATTTACACGTTGCACCTTTAAAGAAGCACTGAGTTACTGGTGAGAGTTCGATGCAGCTTCCTGCTCAGCGAAATCAGCACCACTCTGTTGCTGGTTCAAGGCTGAACAACTGATTATTTTTAATTCAAGCTCTTTGGATTTATTTGTTTGTTTGTGCCGGATAGAAATCTCTGTGTATCCCTAGCCTCACACGGGGCACCAATTAATGTTGGGGTTATTAGGAGCGAACAATTAGTAAGCTTCAACTTACTTTTGGATTCTTCAATAAATTCTGTAAATATGGGAATATTTACTGATTTATTAATTAATTAAGATATTCTTAGATATCCCGGGGCACCACCCCGTTCTACCGGGGAAAAATTGAATCCAAAACTCTTATCAGTCTTTCTTGAAGTTCGTAGAATCCTCGGAGCAGAGACTTCTCTTCGACACAACAAAGGTACTGGACACAAAAATCTGAATTTTATGACATTTAATTAAACAATTTGTTAAATGAATAAACAATGAAATAAATGAATGATAACCATGTGATATAATAAGATGGATGTGTTTGCGTGTGATGGAGGATGTATGAATGGGGTCCTTTGTTCTCACAAAGGAGTAGAGTGTGTGTGTGTGTGTGTGTGTGTGCATGTGTATGGATTAAAAATGGAGTCTTGAATACAAGATGGCTGACCCCTTTGTCTGGCTAAAGTGTGGGTGGCAACTTGCACTTTAACTTCCAAGGCACTTAGAATCAGAAGTAACTTAACCTTAAAATCACTCAAAACATTTCAAAGGATCATGAAACAACACAAAAGATTAATCACAAATTAATATCTTTTAGTTTCACCACTTGGCCATAGTAGAAAACATTTAAAGATATTCAAACAATGATAAATAAGCAGTTTATTCTTTCAAAATGACCCGACGGACGTATTTGGGAGCGAAAGAGAAACTCGTCTGGTAATTTGAAGCAATAGCGCAGTTTTATTGCTTATTCTGGACTATAGAGGAAACGGAAGAAGAAGGAGAGAGAGAAAGAGATGAGTTTCTGATCACCAGAAGAGCGAGGCGTCCCTCACTCTTTGAGTTGACGGTTCTCCGTGTTTCTCCGCAGTTTGGCGTCGTCCGTCGGTTTGATGCTTTCTCCGTTGTTTGGCGTTCTCCGTGAGTTTGACGGAGTTGCGGATTTCCCTTCACGGTTCTGTGTGTTCTTCCTTTCAGCAGTTAGAGCAGCGAGCGGTTGAACAGACCTGATGGCTTGTAGTTTAGCTTCCAGCGGTTCCGTGAGCTCAACTTGGGCACTTAGAGCTTCCGCGTGCTCAAGGGAGTCGGAGCGTTCGACAAGCGTGTCCTTACCGCCAGGTATCCTGGGCAAAAGAACGAAGTTCCTTTGTCTTTGCTGATGATTTATAGTCTGAGTTCGCGGGAAAAGCTCCATGGCCTCCCACACACGCAGAACGTGTTTCTGGTATTAGGCGGTGACATCATCCCAATGCTTCTGTGTGCAAAGCATCATGGGAAATGAAGTTTCTTGGTGCTGATGTGATTATTTGCTTTTCAGAGCAATTTGAGCACAATCATTTTGGAGAAAATCACTGCATAGTAATTTCCTCATGAGGTCAGACCCTCAACACAACAAATTCTTTTACACCCAGATTTCACAATTTCTTTCAGATACAAAGGTTCTGATAAACATCTAACTTACATCACACCACCTACACATCACATTCCATCACCGCATATCCACTCCATCACATCTCATTATTCATATCTGGTCATGTATAATCATTAGTTTAGAAAAGAATAAAATTCCTTTTAACTATAAACCTGACTCTGAATTAATACGAAGTGTGTTAATGGTCCCTGAACAAGTAAAAGTAACTATAATCTTCTGATTAAACATTCAAAGATCAATCAGGTTGATATTGATATTTATATGGAATCCTCACATCTTATTGGTCATAATTATTTGCAGTCGTCATGCTATAAAGTGTGACCGCTACAGTAGCTTCAGAAGGCATGGCTTGGATAACAGCAACAAGACTCTACCACCACTCTGCAACATCAGTGTTTTATCTCCATATGCCACAAGCCTGAAGGAGTTCTGCTGTGTGGTGGAGTTGGTTATGCTAATGTTAGCTTCTACTTGTCAAGATGTTCTCCACGGTTTCCTGAACTTTAAACAACAACAGCCTTTCCTGTCGTGAGTCAAAATAAGTGAGTCCATGAACATTAAGAGACAATAACACGTAGATCTGTCAGGCTTCTCAAATCCTAGAGTTTCACTGCCTATTTTCTATCAAAGCTAATGCAGGATATATGTGTAGGAGACTATTCACGTTCAGCCTGCATGAAAAACTCAACCGATTATAATCAGAAATAATAATTAAAAATGTTTATTTACAATGTTCCACACATTTAAAGTTAGAGAGCTTACTGCAACAAATATTAATTGATAACAAATCTCAGAAATCCACATCTATCCCCTAAAAAGCATTAACAGAGGAGCTGCGCACAAAAAACAGCAATGAAGTATTTACAAAGTAAATTAATTTAATTATGGTATTTTCAAACATTATGTTGATATTTACAACACAGAACATCTTCATTTCATTATTAAACCAGAAAAGCTAATTTAATGGTTATAATTCTTAATTTTCCTTTGTGAGTTCACAACACACGAACCACATCGCATCGTTACCACAACCACAACGACCGCACACGTGCAGATTCATTACACCGAGTTTCACTGATTGTGTATAACTGATTAAAAAAAGAGTGGCTTTAGTCAATCAGCCCCAAGTACTTATTTTAATACTTGGCGATAAAATTTGCCATTAGAAACACGGGGCGGCCTCTTATTTCTTCCTGCTAGTTTTAATATGAACATAATTGGCGATGCATCATAAAATTAGTCAAAAATCTGGCACTGATTTCAAAATGAAACAACTAAGATTGACTCATCCATCAAGACATTTTGTAAACAGCTGTGATATTTAAAAAGGGGAGAATAAACATTGATGCCGCACTCATTGTACACATGCACATCACAGGCGTGTCATGCACAAGAACACCAATTTGCACAAATTATTATCCGCTTCAGCTGATAATCTCTTCAAAGGTTAGACAGAAAGGAATGCAACATAATTAGAAAAATGAGACACTTGAATAACAGACATGTTTTACAAATAAATATACAATTAAAAATGAATATGTTTTATCTTCTTTGAAACTGGATCATTATTAACAGTTAACTGATTTAGTAAGCTGCTGCACGTTGAAAGCTGTGAGGGAGGAAAACTTGAGGGGGAGGAGGGGGTCGTGTTGCTCAGCATCTTCACTCTTTGGAGCTGGAGTCGATCCTCTCCTGCCTCCGCTTCATGATTTCCTGCAGCTCTGAGTCACCGCGGGACTTCTGTAAAGAGAAAACTGCTTTACAGGGTTCTGTTCTCTTGACAGATCCCAATACGGAGCTTGTAACACTTAAGATGGAAAGTGATGCAAATGTTTGCAGTTTTACAGCAAGATAAGAAGATGGTGTCCTGGTTTATCATTCAAAATCTAAGGTAACAGCATACAAATGGTCAAAGTTAGCCTTGTTTGTGTAGTCAGATTTGCACTCAAACATTTTATTTTCTTATTTTTGCTGTTCTTTGTCTTATATTTCCTTATGAATCATGCATTGTGAATTGTTGTGGATGACAAAAGCCTGCTGTTACTACAATCTTCCTGATGGTGGCAGCAGAGGGCAGCTGTTGCTAAATCAGGTGACAGAACTCAGATCTGCTGTCATTAGTCAGGCTGTCTGATTGCTGCTCTGTTTTATCTTTTCTCTGAGTCAGATTGTGAATTTTCAGCATTTGACAAAATGATGATGTGGTCAAGCTTTGAGATGCAGCACACAGAATATCCCTGATGTGCTTCACATCAGAAAAACTCTAAAGGGTTTTAGTGAAACACGTAAACCTCAGATGATGAGAGTAAATAAAAATTCTTCTAAAATAAAACAGTTTGTTGTCATGAGCCTGACGATTTGAGCAGTCTGTGATTTTAAATATTCCATCAGGTGTGTGATTCTGTTTTTGTTGCCTACACAGTTTCAGACCTGAGTCAGGGCTCCCTCTTCATTAGGAGTGCGTGTGTTTCACTACTCCTCAACATTAACGACATTTCACAAATCACAGCTAATAAATCAGTTTCAGTTTTGAGTTTGTAACAAAGTCTATATTCTTTTGATGTGAACAGATTATTGCTCTAGAATTTAGTTTTGTGTGATTAATTTCATTATTTATTTTTCTTTTATGACTGGTTTATTATTGACAATAAACTGTAACGTCAACAAGTCCTGTCAAATACCTGATTACAACAAACCCAACCAGTTTTTTATTTCAAGCAGAACTTGTAATCATTTATTTTATTGTCTGACCGACAACAGATTTCATATTTCTAAACGTACAACTTGTCCTAACATGCTCTCTGGTCAAAATGCATCAGACTTTGTTTTTGGGAGCGAGTTTGTAAGCTACTTAAATGAAGAGGAGTGTAACTGACCTCTAGCTGTGCCTTCTGCAGGGAGATCTGGTTGAAGACGCGACTGCCTTCATCGCCACACACGGTGTTCAGCTCTTGTTTGTTCAAGGAAAACAGCTGAGCTCCCGTCAGGATTCCCAAACATTCAACAGTCCTGTGAAGAGAACAGTTGGGATAAGGAGTTACTTAATTGCTCAGATCCCAATCATTTATCATAAATCCGTCAAACCAAAACCAAACACTGACGTATCCAACAACCTCGCCACTAAAGTCACTGGTAACAAAGCTGTTCTAGCAGCTCTTGCAGCATGCTCAGTTTCATCATTTCAAACTACACCAGCCCTCCTCCTGACATCCATTCCAGATGTTCAGCATCTGTAGTTCCAGACTACAAACCTACCTGCAGCTATCAACATTACAAACAGGGGCGTCCTTCCTCATCTACAAGAATAACTCAAAGATGTGAAACACCAGTACTTCAAACTTTCTCACACACACCCTTATAAAGTATATTCGCTATCTATACCACACGAGATATTAAAATGTATAACTTACACTAAAATATGCCGTTATAGTAGATGTTACTACCTGTACTAAAGCATGTGTCCTGTTCCAAACCTCTGAAAATGTACGTCCACTAGCTTCTCGGTACATCTGCAGGAGCTAAACTACTGCTGCTGCTTTCAAAGACAGATGTTTAGTTCCTAATAGACAAAAAAAACAACCAAATAAAAACAACAATAGTCAGACAGACACCTATACTTAGCATGCTAGCAGCTGCAGGGTAATCCATCTCATAGAATGTGGAGAAACACAAAGACAGCTCATGATAATGAACTGTCCCTACAGAGCAAGGCTGACTCACTCTATAGTTGTGTTTAGGGTGTGACCCTTGAAGGCATGTGGAGGTGTTTTGGGGTAAGTGGTGAACTTACGATTTGGAGAAACCTTTGGCATTGAGCCACACGGTCACCTCCTGTGGCTTCGACTCGTAGGTGAGAGGAACTTGAGCGGTGGACGATCGCTTGATTTGGATCTTTTTAGGCGGCTGCTTTTTGTTTTCAGTGATTTTTATTAAAAGCTCGCTGTTGACCTCGTCCATCACTGCAGAGCAGAAACACGATGGGAGCAGATGTCAGAACAAGAGTTTCTAGTCTGTCACTTTAATACGTTTACTCACTTTTGTCTTTTTGTGCCCCCTTGAAACTGTCTCCGTGTTTCAGAGATCCAGAAGGCGACATCCTGTAGCCTTTCTACACACACACACACACACACACACACACACACACACACACACACACACACACACACACACACACACACACACACACACACACACACACACACACACACACACACACGCGCGCACGCACGCACGCACGCACGCACGCACACACACACACACACACACAGAAAAACTCAGATCATGAGAGTCAAAAGGGTGTTACTCTTAAAAACTGGTTCTTCATTCAGTTCGTTCTGGTAGAAACATTTTTGAACAGAAGCCAAAAGTGAAATATGCGAGTCTGTCACTCAAGGACGAGTCGCCGTGTTCATTTTCTACAGCAGGGTTTAGTGCATGCAGCTCACAAGGCGGGTGGGAAGGTGAGTGGCGCGTAATGCGTGGATCTCGATAAACAGGAAAGGAAGTTGAGTCTCGTTCTGTTGACATACTCAGGATTATCGTGTCCTGGGTGACTGAGAGCTTTCTTTTTTCTCCATAGCATTTCATAAACAAAAGATAAACAGTTCACTAAACAATAGGCCAACTGTAAATTTAAAGGGGGTAAAGATGAATAAAAAAATACCTAAATTACTAATAAATATTCTATGAATTATAATTAAAGACATAAAAATACTGAATAAAATCAGTTTGATCAGTGGAAGTGGAACAGCATTATAAATGCTCTAAAATGTTTTTTTTCCCACACTTGTTCAGTTTTTTTTTTAATTGTTTGATTAACTTATGTCAAATGTTTGATTTTAATTATGTGCACAAAATTAGGATTCAGGAGATGTTTTGACCACGTCAGTGGCCTCAGCACCAGAGACTGGAGGGTCCAAAGTCCCCCAGACTGCTTCCTCACTGGACGATGTGTCGGTGGGATTGAGAAGGTCTTTGAAGTACTCTGCCCACCGATCCAATACGTCTTGAGTTAAGGTCAGCAGCACACTAGCACACTATAAAGATGCTGGATGGGGGACCAGAATCTCCTCAAAGCTGTATGGAAGTCTTGCTCCATGATCTCACCGAACTCCTCACATGCCTGGGTTTTTACCTCTGCAGCCACCTGAGCCGCACTCCACTTGGACCGTCTACCCATCAGCTGCCTCTGGAGTCCCACAGGCCAAAAAGATCTGATAAGACGCTTTCTTCAGCTTGACAGCATCCCTAACCACCTGTGTCCACCAGCGGGCTCAAGGGTTGCCACCACGACACGCACCGATGACCCTGCGGGCACAGCTGCATTCAGCCGTCTCGATAATGGAAGCACGGAACATGGCCCACTCAAACTCAATGTCCCCGGAATGGGTTCAAAGTCCTGTGTAACGTGAGGAAATATGGGTTTTCTGTCACAAAGGTGGTGTTGGACTCAGCTGGGTCAAAGCTGGGTCATTGAAAACTTTCACCCACAGATTAAGACCTGAACACCAGCGAGTCTGGGAGGAAACCATAACATCTGCCACCTGCGGTACCAGAAGAAGGAGTTCTCATGGACAAGTAGTCATAACAAGTCAAAACATAAAGTTTAAACTTCCTTTTCTTGTTTTGAATGTTAAAAGTTTAATCATCAATTTGCTCATTATAAATGTGTTTTAATCAAATGAATGACTATTATGCTTTGGGGTAATTATAAGAGATTTAATGAATCCATAATTAGATAATGTTGAGAGTGTTTGTTGCTGACCTTCACACACACTCAAGCACACACACCCACACACAGATTCTCACAGTTAAACTCCAAACACATTTGCTGACGCACACGTTTGCTATGAGAAGAGAAAGGCTTTTGGTAAGTTTCAGTCTGATGATTTCAGTTCGTGTTGGACAACGAAAGAGAGTGGACCTGAAAACCAAAGGGGGAGCAGAGCCTGTTGGCTCGTTCTTCCCCCCTTTCACGCTGTTCCTGTCAGCCAGACAGAATAGCTGAATCGCGACTTCTAACGCAGACTCATTACCGAGTCTTTTGATTTCTGAGTGAATTAACTTAAGAAAGCGCATCGACAAACCGCTCTACCATCCACGTGTACCGAGGGCAACTCTGGACCGGTTCCGTTCGACACCTACGTCTCCTGTCAGCCGCCGGTGTCATCTGGATGAACCACAACATCCTCCACGGCCCGGATCCGAAAGAGGGTCCACAAGAGTTCGGTGAGACAGAGCACGGTGTTTAGCGTTTGATGCAGTTCTCTGATAAGACCTAAGTTTATCCAAACCATCACTTCACTCAGACACCTGTTTCTTCCTGAAGCAAAATCAGATACACACACGCATCCATCTCACCTCATGTTCAATTCTCACTACACTTTGCACACACACGCATCCATAATCACATCATATCACTCTCAATCTTCATTCACCGACAGAAGGTCTATTTGAGCAAGAACAGCATATCAACTGTTAAAGATTGTCCCACAAGTTGCCAATGTTGATTGTTATTTCCTGTTTGTCAATTTTAAAATCATTAGTTTAATTTGAAGAATTAAAACTTTTAATTGTCAAACTGGTTTCCTCATTGAACTGAAACACAGACACACAGATATTATCGTCAGTTTATCGATGAAAACAACCTTTGAGTCTTCTTAACAATATAACTGAGTAAAGACAGTTTTTCCTTACAATATGGCTAAGCCAGCCAATGTCTTATTACAATATGGCTGAGCCAGCAAATTTTCTTTACAATATGGCGAGCCAATTCAGCTGCCAACATTGACCTCCGACCCGGAGTTAGGTGCTGCACCTTTTACGGGGCGGAGTTCTAGTCAGTCTGTAACTACTCTGGTTAAACCGGGTTTTTCTGATTCTGTGTGGGAACCTCCATCATTCTTGGGAATAAAGTATTCTTGGCTTCAGTTTTCAGGACAGGCCATGTTCCTAAAGCTAGTGTCATGTCTGTATCTGATTCTAAACATAGCTAGGTTTGCTTTGACACCTGTGACACAACCATCCTTGGATCACTCCTTTTCAGAACCTCCAAGTTCAACACCTCCAGGTCTTTGGACATCTGAACACCTACTCTTTCAGCACGATTCAGGTGACACTGTGCATCTTCTTGGTAATAGGGCTTTTAAGTGCTTAAGAACTGTTCTTTGTTATGCTTCTCCTGTCTCACAGACACGGCATAAGTTTGAGATAAAAAAGGGGGGTGGGGAGCCTCCTCCTGCTTTGCGAGCATCATTTTCGCATTTCCAGTTCACTACTACTTCTGATCACAACAAAGTCGCCTCCGTAAAGCTGCAACCCAACTTTGAGCAGGTAAAATCAGGTTCTGATCTAACAATTATACCATCAGCTTCACTCAAGTTCCGGACGGAACCCTCAGGTAAATTCAAACGAGTTTCCCTGTGGGTTCGTAACACAAGATACAAACAGTTTGATAACCAAATCGCTTATGAGCCTGCTCCCACAGATACGTCCAAACTCGTGTCTCTGTGGGTCCGCAATACCAGATTCAAAACGCTTACTGAACACCTCTGTTCTGACCAACTCTATTCTGACCGGATTCTTTTCCACTAACTGGTGGACCGTTACAAATTCTCTCGTTTGTGGGATGAATTTTTAACAAATGTGATATCCTTTGAATTTTTTTTTTCAGGTTGCCTGCCTCCAGCCAGGACACCTGCTACTAACTCACATTTTTAGGGATTACTAACCTACTGATTTACATTTTAGAATTGATTTACATCTCTGTCTTTTTATTAGTGCTTTGTGTAGCATGATTATATTTGATTACAAATTTAATTTTATTTTGTTACTATTTCCCTTAAAGGGCCACAAGCCAATTTGCCCTTCATTTTCATGATTATTTCTTTTATATTTATGCCTTTAATTGGTGCAGCCTGCTGAGTTTCACATATCAGTTAGGATTAACTTTCTGTTATTTGTGTTTTCTCTGCATCACGTTTTTACATGACATGTAGAACAGGGTGCAGAACATTTTTTCTTTAGATAATTCACAAAAGGCATCCACATTTTCCCAGAGGTACCCATAGATAGGTTTTGATTGATTTCTTTGATTTGCATCAAATGTTATCTATCGTGTGGGCTGTCTCACTTTGTCTCCTTCTCCGAGCTCGTATGGACTACATCCCATCAGAGGGGTCGTCTTCACCATCCTTCAGCTGGTTTCCTGTCGCATGGGGCTTCGGTCGTGGTTCGAGAGGTGTCGAGGTCTGCGCTGGAATTCACTTGGATTACGCCTGAGGAATACATCACCTGCCCAGCTCCGTGTGACACACGAGCTGCTTATCCTTTGAATACCTTTGCATTATTGCTGATGAAATTAACTACTGTTGGCATAGATCTGCTTTCAAGATTCCCTAAGTGGATTACTTTACAATGATTGCAACAGTTTTGGCCTTAATCATCTAATCAGGATATACTCCCTTCTACACGAGACCTGTGGAGACGCTTCATCGTTCCTGCCTTCATCTGGGATGTCTACCTTCACGAGTACATCACGTTATTGAGGTTGTGACGTCAGGTGGCCTCTGCTTGACCACCATGTCGTCACAAAAGGGGGGATCTGTAACGTGAGGAAATATGGGTTTTCTGTCACAAAGGTGGTGTTGGACTCAGCTGGGTCAAAGCTGGGTCATTGAAAACTTTCACCCACAGATTAAGACCTGAACACCAGCGAGTCTGGGAGGAAACCATAACATCTGCCACCTGCGGTACCAGAAGAAGGAGTTCTCATGGACAAGTAGTCATAACAAGTCAAAACATAAAGTTTAAACTTCCTTTTCTTGTTTTGAATGTTAAAAGTTTAATCATCAATTTGCTCATTATAAATGTGTTTTAATCAAATGAATGACTATTATGCTTTGGGGTAATTATAAGAGATTTAATGAATCCATAATTAGATAATGTTGAGAGTGTTTGTTGCTGACCTTCACACACACTCAAGCACACACACCCACACACAGATTCTCACAGTTAAACTCCAAACACATTTGCTGACGCACACGTTTGCTATGAGAAGAGAAAGGCTTTTGGTAAGTTTCAGTCTGATGATTTCAGTTCGTGTTGGACAACGAAAGAGAGTGGACCTGAAAACCAAAGGGGGGGGCAGAGCCGGTTGGCTCGTTTCTCCCCCTTTCACGCTGTTCCTGTCAGCCAGACAGAATAGCTGAATCGCGACTTCTAACGCAGACTCATTACCGAGTCTTTTGATTTCTGAGTGAATTAACTTAAGAAAGCGCATCGACAAACCGCTCTACCATCCACGTGTACCGAGGGCAACTCTGGACCGGTTCCGTTCGACACCTACGTCTCCCCTGTCAGCCGCCGGTGTCATCTGGATGAACCACAACATCCTCCACGGCCCGGATCCGAAAGAGGGTCCACAAGAGTTCGGTGAGACAGAGCACGGTGTTTAGCGTTTGATGCAGTTCTCTGATAAGACCTAAGTTTATCCAAACCATCACTTCACTCAGACACCTGTTTCTTCCTGAAGCAAAATCAGATACACACACGCATCCATCTCACCTCATGTTCAATTCTCACTACACTTTGCACACACACGCATCCATAATCACGTCATATCACTCTCAATCTTCATTCACCGACAGAAGGTCTATTTGAGCAAGAACAGCATATCAACTGTTAAAGATTGTCCCACAAGTTGCCAATGTTGATTGTTATTTCCTGTTTGTCAATTTCAAAATCATTAGTTTAATTTGAAGAATTAAAACTTTTAATTGTCAAACTGGTTTCCTCATTGAACTGAAACACAGACACACAGATATTATCGTCAGTTTATCGATGAAAACAACCTTTGAGTCTTCTTAACAATATAACTGAGTAAAGACAGTTTTTCCTTACAATATGGCTAAGCCAGCCAATGTCTTATTACAATATGGCTGAGCCAGCAAATTTTCTTTACACCTGTCAGAGGTGGGAATTGACACTACTTAACCAGATGTTTTTAGCAGAACCTCACAACATGTTTAGGTCTGCCAGGACTGACTGGTCCTCCCCACCATCGAAGCCAACTCACCACCAGGTAGTGGTCAGTGTCAAATTCATGCGGCCGCAGATAAGGTGAGACGACAACAAAGTCGATCATCGAGCTGCAGCCTAAGATATCCTGGTGCCAAGAGCAGTGGTGCCTGAACACGGTGTTCATTATGGACAATCCATGACGGGCACGTCCAATAGCAAAACACCTCTCAGATTCAGATCAGGAGGGCCGTACCTCCCCACCACACGTCTCCTGGTCTCTACAGTCTCACTGTTGTTGCCCACATGAGCATTGAAGTCCCCCAGGGGAACACAGGAGTCACCCGAAGGAGCTCTCTCCAGCACCCCCTCCAAGGACCCTAAAAAGGACGGGCAGTCTGACCTGCAGTTTGGTGCATAAGCACAAACCACAGTCAGGACCCGTCCCCTCACATGTAGGCAGAGGGAAGCTACCCTCTTGTTTAGCAGGGTAAACCCCAATGTGCAGGCACCAAGATGGTGGACATCTAGTTTGCCCACCTCTGCTGGGCGACTCTCAGTGGGTGAAACTCCACCAGAGAGGTGACTTTCCACATACCGAGAGCCAGCTTCTGAAGCCGAGGATCAGACTGCCAGGGTCCTTGTCCTCGGCTACCACCCATCTCAAATAGCAACCAGCTCAGTAGCCTGGGACTGGGTCGTACCAAAAACTTTAAAAATGGACCCAATGCCTCCCTGCCTGACACTCAGCTTTTAAGGGGTTAAACCACCAAATGGTTCCCGAGCGCGGCCACAGCTGCAGCTCACCACTCCCCATGGGGATGGGTCAAACGCGGAGAACAAATTTCACACACACATTAATGGTGAGCCCATGGGGCCCCATTGGAATATCATACAAACCTGTTAATAAAAGTGTTTTATAGTTGTTTAAATGTTGGGATGAGTGGATCTATACACAGCTACACAGTTATGGTGAATAGTATTCAGAGCTCCACTAGTGGCATACCTGGCCGTGGGGGCTCTCTGGCTCTTCTATCCTCACAACATCCAGGATGTTAAATGGGACAAAACCAGTTTGCCCACTACGATTTCGTAGTTTCCACCACTGTTTGTCATCTTCTATCACCTGAGGGGCAGATTCCACATGTCACAACATGGAACTGAAAACAGACGGAAGGCCCATCCACTGCTGATTCATACTCAAGTCTAATTTGGAAATGAAGGCATCCCAACCTCGAGGATCTCATCCTGCAGCACTGACAGCTCGTTGGCATTCCTCGCAACAAAGTGGTAACGGATTTTGGCATATTTACGGCCGTTGGGACTTCCATCGTTAGACCTGGTGGGACACATGCATCATTAATTGGTGTGTGGTTGTGCGTGTGTGAGGTGTAAAAGACATGAGAAACGTCTGTAGAACACTTACCCGTTCAAGGGAGAATGTCTTCCATAATACTACAACAAAACATACATGCAGATTTATTTAAAGGTTTGACATTTTACAGCCAGCACACATAACAAATGTAACCCTTACGTCATCAGCTGATAGTTTTCTAAAATCAGGGCTGGTGGGGGACCCTAGTGGTGGAGATGGGCCTTCAGTTTCCCACGGTGAAGTCATGAAAAGCTCCGCCGGTGGCTCCCAGCCATTCCGGAATCTGGGGTAATAAGGAGGAGCGCATTGATCCACGGGCCACTCTGCTCTGCAGGAGGAGGAAGGAAGATTTTAACTGGTGATCCTTGACCTATGCTCAGACTGAGCCTCCAGCATCACATTAAAATATACCTGGGTCTGGTCCACCCGTCCCCGAGCAGCTCAAACAACGTCATCTCTTTGGGGGTGAGGTGTCCCCGCAGGAAGTCGACAGCGTCTCTAGACAGGTGAGGAGCAATGATTGAACGAGCCAGCTCAGGACTTCCACAGCTCTGCATCACCTGAGGACATGTTCAGAAGATTAAAGCTGGAACTGGATCACCAAAAAAGTGCTGCACATTATGCAGAAATATAAAATGACTTTCAAAAATGCATAACCCTAAGGATTCAGTTCAAATCTTTCATTGGTTTCGCTAAAGGAAATGAAACTCTGCAGACAATACGTCAGGACAATAAGCATGCCAAAGCATGCAGACTAAAAATAAAAGAGTATCCAGAGTGTTAAATGCAGCACCTAAGTGTGTTTTCTGTGTAGCTCTACCAAAGGCGTGGCTCGACACTCCGGCTTGGGAACAACGTTACGTACGTGCTGCTGCACCTGTCTCACAGCTAAAAGCCACAACACTCTAGTCGGGCGGGTGCTGAGATGAGCAACAGTAGGTGTGGCACGGGAGAAAAATAAAACAAAAAGACAAAACTCTGATGGAAAAATGTGAGTTATGAACTGCGTGAAACTCAATGAGCGTGTTGTGCTCTCTGATTTCTTCTGGTCTAGAGGATTGTGGTTGCTGCAGAGCTACAACTCATTTTGAGACGTGACATGAAATTACACTAAATAAAAATGTACTTATAGATGAAACTCAATTTTAAAAAGCAGCTCATGTTGTAAACAGGCTTTAGATCAAACTGACTGCTCTTACCAGCTCCAGAGGACCAAACAGAAAGTGAACCAGCTCAGAAGCACTGGGATTCTGCAGGTGTCTCTTCAGTTTGGCCTGCAGGGGGCAGAGTGACAGAAAAACCGGGTTAAGACGATGAAAAGAGCAGCTGCTTAAGGATGAAGGTTAGGAACTCACCAAGAGGTTGAGGGCCAGCTTCAGTTTCTGCAGGCTGTCAATGAACTCGGCTTCAGTGGGGGGTTTGGCTCTCAGGGTCAGCATGCCCTCTGGAAACAAGCAGAGCAGCAATGACCACACACGGACTCCAGAATTACCCGTCAGACATGCTGCAGACAGGACAGAGCTTTCACTCTCTGGCCAAGGGTCAGTTAGAAAACATTTACCTTTTGTCACAAAAGCGTGTGACTCCAGCAAAACCACAGTGGCCAGTTAAAAAGACACCTGAAAGGCTCACCTTGGCCAGAGTAGGAAAGGATTGTGGTCAAGAGGTCAAAAAGATCATTTGACCCAGGAAATCAAGGAAACGTTTGTAATATGTTGAGTTTCACATCAAAAACTAATTCTGTCCCTTTTTGCAACAACAACTAAATTGGTCTGAGCAGTCGGGTCACAAGCAGACATGTGGGATTTAGTTAGTGCAGGTGAACTTACGTCTGATTGGTGGACATTAAAAAAAAAAACAAATTAATGAGTAAAAAGTGTACAAACAGGAGATGTGGCCTCAGAGTTTAAATTCTTTATTTTTAACAAATCTGATTATTTATCAGGTTCAACAAATGGTATTTAAACTACTTCTTAACTGGTATTATGGGAGGGAAATTAACAATACTAGTTACCCTGAACACACACACACACACACGCACACACACGCACACAAGTATGACCACACACGTACACATGCCCACACACATGCACACACACACACACACACACACACGCACGCACACAAGTATGACCACACACGTACACATGCCCACACACATGCACACACACACACACACACACACACACACACACACACACACACACACACACACACACACACACACACACACACACGCACGCACACAAGTATGACCACACACGTACACATGCCCACACACACGCACACACACACCTACCCACACACACACACACACACACACACGCACGCACACAAGTATGACCACACACGTACACATGCCCACACACACGCACACACACGCACACACACACACCTACCCACACACACACACACACACGTGCACACATTAGGGGTCGTATCAACTAGTCGACTTCACTGCTCTGTAGTGACTTTCATCGACTAGTCGCTGTCACGTGATAATGACTGACAAGATGCAGTCCTCGGAAAAGACAGCAGGTGATGAGCCCCTGCGTGTTGGGAGACGACGCGCTGTGCCAGAGCGTCGGTATCTGACGCCTGCGGTAAAACGGACATTCGACCGAATTGTGACCTTTACCCTCTTGCAATTTTACCTTCCCCTCACCCCCATCCTAATCTTAACCAGCATGCACATGCAAAGCTCTGATCGCTGACGCGCTCCAGACATCTGCGTCCTGAGCACGGCCACAGTAGCATTATCAAATCAGGTGTCGCCACCTCAAAAACTAATTTAACACGCGATCATTCATGTCGGCTCATTTCCTTTTATGTTTTCTGTCTTTTATTTGTGCCTGATGCGTTTCGCTGCTGTGGAGCAGAGCTCATCACCTTTTTGTCCTCCGGTGACGCACCCTACCGGTGCAGCCGGCACGCACTCCGCTGTTTTTGCAGTCGGTAGATCTTTTAGAAATGTAGTTCAAAGGTAACTCATAAGGTGAATATATATAAAGCCAGGTAGCAGTTTTTCTTTAGGATTGAGAGGAGATGCAGGAAGATAATAAACAGGCAGGACAGAAAAATAGTCAAATAAAAACAAGTTAGTTTTTGTACCTGGTGGTTGCAACAAACAGACACCATTGAGGGTAATCAGAAGTGAGGAACAGAAAATGAACTTATTATTTTAATGTTTAGAGCAGCAGGAACTCTGAGAGGCTGCAGGTGCATCAGTGAGTTTGCGGCCGCTGCGCAGGGGGAGGACTGAAGTGGAGCAGTAGGTGTAGATGCAGAAACTACCGTTGTTAAAAGAGATGTGTTTGACTTTGAAAATGGTCACCCATCGTCAGTTTTAGCCGCTTCAGGTGTATGACGTCATCAACAACTAGTCGAAGTCGACACGTGTGCACACACACACAAGTATGATCACACATATGTACACACATACCGTAAATCCTCTAATACAGGCCCGGGCCTCTATTTGACTCAAGCTCATCAAGCTCCAGGCCTTTATTGGAAGGAGGGCCAGTATTAGAGGCAGGCCTCTATTTCCATTTGAGCAAAATGAACTAATGTTCCTTGGAGTTTTTGACAATTAAAATTGCGCCCACATTTTCAAAGTTAAACACATTTCTTTTAACAACGGTAGTTTCTGCTTCAGCCATCTCCCCCCTCCCCCTGCTTTAGCCCTCTCCCCCCTCCCCTGCTTTAGCCCTCTCCCCCCCTCCCCCTGCGCAGCGGCCGCAAACTCACTGATGCGCCTGCAGCCTCTCGGAGTTCCTGCTGCTCTAAACATTAAAATAATTATTTCATTTTCTGTTCCTCACTTCTGATTACCTTCAATGGTGTCTGTTTTTTGCAACAGCAGGTACAAAAACTAACTTGTTTTTATTTGACTATTTTTCTGTCCTGTCTGTTTATTATCTTCCTGCATCTCCTCTCAATCCTAAAGAAAAACTGCTACCTGGCTTCATATATATTCACCTTATGAGTTACCTTTGAACTGCAGTTCTAAAAGATCTACCGACCGCAAAAACAGCGGAGTGCTCGCTGTTTGTCGGCCGTATCAGTGATCAGTGCGTCGGGAGGACAAGGTGATGCGCGCAGCGCCCCGCTCCACAGCATGCAGCAAACGCATCAGGCGCAAATAAAAGACAGAAAACATTAAAGGAAATGAACCAACATGAACGATCGCGTGTCAGTACCTACGGTCTGGCACAGCGCGTTGCCCCCACCCCCCACCCCCCCACCCCCGAGCGCAGGAGCTTGTCACCTGCTGACAGCAGACTGCTGTCTTTTCCGAAGGCTGCATCTTGCCGGTCATTATCACGTGACAGCGACTAGTCGACGACAGGCATAAAAAGTCACTATAGTGAAGTTGACTAGTTCATACACCCCCTACTGCTGCTCTCCAGAGTGTTCTGCAGCATAATCAGCATGTTCTCTTTGAACTTGATAGTGTAATGACCTGGCTGGGGTTGTAAGCCAGGTGCATTCTGGGTATTGTGTTATATGTGTTTCCTATCGTTCTGCTAGTTCCTATGTGCTGATTTGCGTGTTGTGTGAGTGTTATGTAAGCCACAGGGAAGGTGATGTGTGTTCTGTGGAGTGGGTTGAATTAGCATGGTTAACTGACACCGTGACTCTGTGTGGTAGGAGCGTGATAGAGGATCGTGTCTGTAGCGTTACAAAGCGTTGAAGAAAAAGCCTATTAACGGTCTGCTTGAACCTCTACTGCCTCCTGCTGGTTGATTTGGGGAGTATAACCCTGCCGCTGGGACGCTCATACTTGCTTGTTACTTCATTCCACCCGGCCACAATAAGAGACTGGCCATTATTTACCTCAACCGACTTTGACACCGGCCACAATTGGAGACCCGGCCTTTAATTGAATACCGGCCTGTATTGGAGGATTTACGGTACACGCACACGCATGCATACACACAAGTGCACACACACACACACAAACAAATGCACAAATGCACAAATGCACGTGTGCAAACACACGTACACACACACACACATGTGCACACACACACTAACACACTAGGAGCATGAATTTAACATGAACTGTGAGAACGCAAAAATAAAAGAAAATTGAGTAATTGGGGCCTCCAGAATGACGGGTCATAACAGCTTTTGAAAGCAAAATATGCTCTTGTGTAAAAATGTGAAATCACCTGGTGTGTTGGTGAAACAGGAAATAGCACTCAGAGAAAGCAAATAACTCATGATTGCAATAATAAACAATAAATGATACTTCCAGAAAATGAGCACTTATACATGTTTGGAGGAGGTTCCTGGTCTGCATCACACAAAGAGAACCAAACATGATGGCGTGAGCAAAACGTGCATAATGTCACTGCATCAGCGCCACCACAGAAGAAGAAAGGGAGGCAGACCTGCTGGTCCTTTCTTCTTATTCTTCTTACTCTTGTTGCGTTGGTTGAGCTGAGAAAAGGCCTCTGCTGCCTTCTGCAGCCGCGCCACAAAGATCTCAATGTCATCCAGAGCACAGTTGAGGACTTGCTGTGCAATAAGGAGAAAAAAAAGAAAGTTTAAGGTGTTCTGAGGGTGGAGGACAAATGTAGAGCTGGGTAAACACTTACCACATCCTTCTCGATGCGTTGGGCCAGCTTTTCATGAGACTCCGGGTCATTCTGGCCCGAAACTCGCCGGTCTGTTTCCAGTCACACAAAACGTAACGTGACTAAACAAAAAATGCTGCAGGAGGGTTAAAAGAGAATTTAAAGTATTGTTACCTTGAGTGTTTGCAGCAGCTTCCACGCGTCGATTTGCCACAGGCGGGGGGCCCCTGGGGGCTGACGGAGGGAGGATGGTCTCTCTGTGACGCTTCATTTTCTCCTGGTTCACCCTGAAGGAGGAGAAGACATGAAGATGTCAGGTGATTTATGACCGTGTGTGTGTGTGTGTGTGTGTGTGTGTGTGTGTGTGTGTGTGTGTGTGTGTGTGTGTGTGTGTGTGTTTGTCTTACTTCAGAGTCTGAAGTCTCATTTTTTTCCCATGCTTGTTGTCTCCAATAGCGCTGTCCACATCTGCATGGACCATCTCAGCCTTGATTGAAACAAGACAGATGAAGAAGTTTTAATTGTAAACAACTATCTTTTCTTTTACTGTCCCTCTGCGTTACAGGTGCAACTTTAAGTCTATAAAGTAGGGATCTTTCTAGAAAGTTAGAGTTCCTGTTTAAAGGCAGATTTGGGGTGTTTCTTTACAAAGCTGAAAAAGGTCAGAATATGCACGCAAATCTGACCTCTTCCAAGAACAGCAGAGAGCATAAAAAAGACATAAAACACAGACATTCAAGGACATCTTGATAACAACAGACAGAGCGACGGCTGTAAAACCCACTATCACACTCACCTCCACCTCGTCACAGTGGAAGAAGTGGATGTCCGGTTTGTGCTGTTCCTTGTCCTGACACACAAGCAGCAGCACAGACGGGTAGCGCGTCTGATTCAGCACCGTCTGACACATTTGGATCGTGGACACGGGGAAGTTCTCCAGTTCTTCCTGCAGGGGAAAGAATGAAAACATTTGACGTCCATTCTGCAGCAACAACCACAAACAAACTATGACTTCTGATATTTGTTGATCTGATTGCATTCTGCACATTTGTTAGATGTATCATCAAGAATGTTTCATTATTGGATTAAAGGTTTTTACTTTGTAATTTCAGAACATTAACTGGATTCTGATGTTCTTTTTCCATTAGTGGCGATAAGTAACTAAAAGCCTGAATCTGGCAAACCAGACCCAAACCATGACACTACCACCACCATGCATCAGATGGATCAGCAAAGGCCTTTCGTTTTCCTTTACTATTGCACTTGTTTTATGAGTGATCCTCAAAACATTTAATTTTCCTTCAGGTGCACATACTCCTGACAGACTGTAGGCAGATGGAATTTATCATTTTCAGAGATGCATCATCACATTTTTCCTGATACATAATCAGTGTCAGCTCAATGAGGTCACGTAATGGCATACTTCTAGATCATGAAAGTCCAGTGTTGAGTCATTTTGTCTATAAATGACAAAGAGTGATATCTTCGCTCATTACTCAGCAACAACCAGCATGATTTACATTCCAGTAACTTAATCTCTATGGTTATTCCCAAAGCTCCTCCTTTGGCCGCTCCTCATTTCAGTTTGCTGCTTCCAAATGACATGAGTGAGCTGCAAAAATCACTAAAGCTCACTACCTACATTCCACTACCTACCTTCAACAATGACGATCAATAGTTTCTGATCAATGTGGCTGCTTCTGAGTGCCTGAAGACTGTTTTGATAATACTATATATGAAAATGGTCTTTTATGTCTAACTGTTTTTATCTTGATTTTATCTTGTTTGTTTTCATCTTGTCTGTCTGTTGTTTGGTGTAAAGCTAATTTTGTGTCTGTTGCTGCTGCCTTTTGGCTTAGATCATCGTTGTGACCGAGAATGAGTTCTCAATCACCAAATCTGGATAAATAAAGGTCAAATAAAATTCATAAATAAAATTAAATTTGGCACCCTTTAATTCTGGATATAAATTTGTTTGGGTCACATCAAAATGCTCTAAGAGAACTTCACGTTTGAAATGTCCTCACTGAACGTTTCCTCTGAAAACACCACCTGTAATATTCAAACATTTGTATTAGTTTTATTTTATATGAAAAGCCCGTTAAATTTTCAAGGTTTTGGTGGAGTCTATTCCAGCTCATTATTCAACGACTGCAGCAAAAAATCCTTCAGATTTGACAGATTCAATCAAATCCAGTTACTTCAAAAGTTTTTCTGTGTGTGTGTGTGTGTGTGTGTGTGTGTGTGTGTGTGTGTGTGTGTGTGTGTGTGTGTGTGTGTGTGTGTGTACAGGATCTTACCTGCGTTTCACAGTCAAGCAGCCTGACCGCCTTGTCAGTGACCTGCAGGAGCATCTCCTGAGTCCAGATCTTATCCTTGGAGTCCAGAAGAACCAGCTTCTTCACTGCGTCGTCCACAGTGACTATTGACTCCGTCTTATCCATCACGAACGTGGAGAGATGCTGAGAACACAACAGCTTTTAGTGACTTTAACCTGGAGCAAACCAAAATAAATTGTAAAAATGATAAATGACCTGGATTTGATAGAGCGCCTAGGGTTCTACAACCCCCAAAGGCGCTTTACATTATAACCATTCACACATTCATACACTGGTGGTGATGAGCTAGATTGTAGCCACTGATAGAAGGTGGTGTGTCTAGCCCAAGGACTCGACTACACCAGACGAGGCTAAATCCTGCAACCCTCCAGTTAACTCCTCTACCTAAACTTGTAGTTTAAAAAATGCTTCTCTTGTTGTTTGCTGTTATAAATTCACTTAAGAAAAAGCTTAAGCTTAGCAGCATCAAAATGCAAGTGAGGGAAATGTGTTGTTACTCTGCTCACAATTGAATTTCATTTCAAATAATTAAAATAATAATTTCAATCTATGGTTTTACAAGCCACCATTAAAAGCTTCGAATCGTGTCACTTCAGTAAACAATACAGATCAACTGATATTTTCTAATGATGCTCTATGTGGTTGGAGACATCCACAGAAGAGAACAGAAGGGACCTAATAGGTTGATGGATTACTGGGCTCATGCTGCTGCACAAAGCAGACACTGATTTTATCTCTGGCAACATCCTGCTGCTTTTTCGTGAGAAATAATGGAAATAATGCAGCTGTAGGTAGGTCTAATGACAAATAAAGTTATCTATTCTATCATTTTTTATGTTTTTATTACAGTGCTCCTGTACAGGGAAATCAGGTGTGTGTGTGTGTGTGTGTGTGTGTGTGTGTGTGTGTGTGTGTGTGTGTGTGCGTGCGTGCGTGCGTGCATGCGTGTGTGTGTGTGTGTGTGTGTGTGTGTGGGGTCATGTCAGACTTTAAACTTATTTAGTCAAACCTGTAAATAGCTGCCACATCTACGTCCAACGTGATAAATTAATTGGGAATAGATTGATAAACTGCTCTCGGACATAATACTCATCATGAGAATTCTTCTTAAGAACAATGAAACACTTTTGTTTAGTGTAAAAACATATATCTAGGTATGAATTCAAATCAAAGGAATGAAAGTTTGAAGTTCTTACCTCGACGTGATACTGCGACGTCTCCTGCATGATGAAGTTGGAGTTGGAGTATTTTTTGCGCTGCTCTGTGGACAAAAAGAAAACAAAAGTCATTTTCTGCCGCTGTGCAGTAAAATCTTCTACAGACGAGAGCAAAAGCACGGACCGTAAGTCCACATGATGTCCTTTCAGCTCATAGAACCGATGATGAAAGGAGAGAGAAGAACAGCAGGGGAATAAGGAAGTGATGAGCCTTTTTTTTATTATGGTATAACTGTCATCACACGGTCCACAATGCTGCTAATTATTCACCCCTTTGCATTTATAAAGATATTTTTAGAGGAGGTGTTTGTTTGTTTTATTGTACTGATGTAGTCTAACAACAGACACACACAGATTTTTTTGTTTCTGATCTAAAATCGTTCTTCGAAAAAACTGAAAACAACCAGAACAATCTGTTCATGTTTACGTATCTGGCAGATGCTTTAATCTAAAGCGACACAGAGGTGAGGTAGAAAGGTGAAGTGACTTGTCCAAGGACACAATGGCAGAAGGAGCTGGGATGGAACCAGCAACCCTCCGATTACCAAACACAGCCACCGCCACTAGTCTAAGAAGTTAATATTTAAATTTTCATATCAAATAGTGGTTATAACTTCATTCCCCTTCCTGTCCAAGTTGGAATTAAAGATCGAGGGCTTCAGTTATGAGCTCAGATTTATGGCAGGTTCAAAGGTCGCCGACAGCAGCAGTCAGTTCTTCATCTGCGACAGTTTACACCACCCAAAAAAAAAATGTCTCTACAGCCGAGTAAAAAGCATGCTACTGCTCACCTCAGGCACAATGACCCCAAATACTGTAAGATTTTCCTTTTATCACCACTTGCAAATAAATCATGATCCTGATTGCTAAACTCCATCATGGAAAGCTAATGATTCAGATTGACTTTGCAGCGGTTGTTCACCTTGCATTGCAATCACAAGTCAACATCCAGCTCTGAGTTTGAGCCCATCTGTCTGACAGTTGAAGATCAGACTAAACAGGGCCAACCTGTTTGGAGCGCTCAAGAAAATCTGTCCAGACGACAAAAATATGGTGTCACCATATTATGACCATACAAAAAGTCAAAAATCAAGGAGCTCAGTGAAAAACCAGAGCTGATCCATTTAGAAAAGCGAGAAGATCATAAAGTCATGTAGAGACAATAATTTACAGTCATTGCTTTACTAGGAGTTGCTTTATGTTGTGTACTTATTGTTCCACACAATACAACTCTTTGTTAATAACATTATTTAACATGATTTATTTTTGTTTGTTGTTTATTTTTGAAGATTAGTAAGATCCTAGACATGCAGGGTGAGTTTTTAGTCTTTTTATTTTATTTCAACATTAAATACCAAAACAACTTTCAATCTGAAGAAATTGTGTGAAAAGCATGAAACTATCCTTAATCTAAAAGCCCAGCTCAAAATCACCGTTTAAATATTTAACACATCTCTTCTTGGTGCCACCTCCATCTTGGAGCTCGGCGCCACGAGTGAAGCCATTATTTTCTAACTGACTGATTTTAAATGAGTGGACTAATCTGCTTTGACTGTCACGGTGCAGTGTGGGTGGAGGCGGACCCATGGGTGGTGGAGCTGGACCAGGAGGCAGAAATGCAGCTCAGGTAAAAATAAAACGGATTGAATGAGTACTGGTAGGTAGGATACAGCAGGAGCAACGTAACAGGGTGAAGACACAACAATGATCCGACAAGGGGCAAGTGCAGAACTGGGGGTTTAATTACACAAGGATAATCAGGAACACATGAGCAGGATGACAAGGGGCAGGTGAGTCCAACAAGCAACTAATTAGGGGTAGACAGGACACACATTAATTGAAAAACAAGGGGACCAGGGATCCGGGACATGGAGGCTCAGAGGGCCAGCGACGGGGAACCAGGAGCCGGGGCGCAGGAGGCTCAAGAGGCCGAGGGGACGAAGACTCGGGAACTCCGACGACTCGGGAACTCCAAAGAATCAGGACGAAGACTCAGGAACTCCAAAGACTCAGGAACTCCAAAGACTCGGGACGAAGACTCGGGAACTCCAAAAACTCGGGACGAAGACTCGGAAACTCCAAAGACTCGGGACGAAGACTCGGGAACTCCAAAGACTCGGGAAGAAGACTCTGGATCTCCAAAGACTCGGGACGAAGACTCGGGATCTCCAAAGACTCGGGAACTCCAAAGACTCGGGAACTCCAAAGACTCAGGATGAAGACTCGGGATCTCCAAAGACTCGGGAACTCCAAAGACTCGGGAACTTCAAAGACTCTGTAACTCCAAAGACTCTGGAATTCCAAAGACTCGGGACGAAGACTCGGGATCCCCAAAGACTCTGGATGAAGACTCTGGATCCCCAAAGACTCGGGAACTCCAAAGACTCAGGACAAACACTCGGGACGAAGACTCGGGAACTCCAAAGACTCTGGACAAAGACTCGGGAACTCCAAAGACTCTGGACAAAGACTTGGGAACTCCAAAGACTCGGGACGAAGACTCTGGAACTCCAAAGACTCGGGATGAAGACTCTGGAACTCCAAAGACTCTGGAACTCCAAAGACTCAGAAACTCCAAAGACTCAAGGACGAAGACTCGGGAACTCCAAAGACTCGGGACGAAGACTCGGGAACTCCAAAGACTCGGGATGAAGACTCGGGAACTCCAAAGACTTGGGACGAAGACTCGGGAACTCCAAAGACTCGGGACAAAGACTCGGGAACTCCAAAGACTCGGGACAAAGACTCGGGAACTCAGAAGAAACAGAACTCCTTCCGCTGGACTGGAGACAAAGCAAAAATAAACAAATCCTCCAGGCAGGTGTTAAAGCTCACCACAGGTCCAGGTTTGGTCGGATCATTCTGTCACGGTGCAGTGTGGGTGGAGGCGGACCCATGGGTGGTGGAGCTGGACCAGGAGGCAGAAATGCAGCTCAGGTAAAAATAAAACGGATTGAATGAGTACTGGTAGGTAGGATACAGCAGGAGCAACGTAACAGGGTGAAGACACAACAATGATCCAACAAGGGGCAAGTGCAGAACTGGGGGTTTAATTACACAAGGATAATCAGGAACACATGAGCAGGATAACAAGGGGCAGGTGAGTCCAATGAGCAACTAATTAGGGGTAGACGGGACCAAGAGTCAGAGGGGTCGGAGCAGATCCTGACATTGACCCATTTAGCAGGTGAATAATGTGCAGGTAGCAATTAGGCCTAAATGAAGGCCATATCAGGTCTCTTTCTATTCTCCTCCCAATAAAGTCAACATTCTGAAGCCACGCGGGGTTTTTGGTTTCATTCAGATAGATTTCTCTTTGTGTGCTTTATGGCTACTGTGATACTAAAGCTGGGCTGTTTGCAGAACACTTAACAAAATGCATAGCGGTTCTCTAACATTTGCCCCCTTTTTTCATGGTTTTACAGGAATCAAATCAACGTGAGTTAAAAAAAACAACAACGTTTAATTACCCAAATGGCACAACCAAATCGTCTTTCCTGTTCATTCCATTTCCTTCCTGCTCGGCTCCACGCAGGTAAAACACAAGCGTCATGTGTCGCTCTGAAAGTCGAGCTCAACTCATGACTTATTGATGACTCACATTATTTCCAATCAACTCACAGCACCGTGACAGAGTGCAATAAGAGTCACTTAGCGGGCAGATGGGTCGATCCTCAGAACCCTCTAGAGTCAGCCACCAGTGGTAAACATAGCCCCCTGGCACATTCTCAAACTCTTACCTGACCCCGATCGATCACTTACGAGCCGCTTTAATCGGCGGGGATCAGGTAACCGAAACCCAACTACAGTAACACTGATAAGTAAAAACTGCAAAATTTGTTTGATTTATGGGGATGCAACAACTAGAACCAATACATCATTGTGTTAGCTAAAAGGTCATGCATGGCCTGCACTTGTTTCTAGCTGCAGGGCATCCTTTAGACTGAAAACCATGCAGCAGTGTCCACAAAGGCCAGTTACCACAAAGCTTTGCATCAATATTGACTCATTCCTTTCAAGCAGATAAAGCTGAAAGAATATTTTTACCAAAAGCACAAAAGATTCAGTGCATTTAAAAACACAAAGCAGGAAGATATTGAAGTCATTTTTTGCATAATCTAAGTGCTAATTAACCTTAACAAACCAGTTACCTGACACAGACATGCTCCTCAAAGAAAGCGAGAGAAAACGTTTAACAGAAAACTTCCTGACCGTCCAGAGCCCAAAGATAATGACTCTAATGCACCTTTTTCCTTTCTCTCCTCTTTCGCCCCCCGGGGAGCTGATAACAGATCAGGTGGGAGGACCCGTGCATCATTTGCATCACTTGTCTACTGTTTGAGTGATGGAGAACTTTGCATATGTGAGATTGTTCTGCTGCAGATAGAACCTGAATGTTTATTCAGACAGGTATGACGCAGCTCTGTTAAAGGTAACATCGTCCACTCTCTCGCCTCTACGGACGCCGTCCTGCAGCGAGGAAGGTTGTGGCGACCATCTGCTGCACAACAACACGCACAGGAGGATACTTCCAAAAGATCACGAGAGTGGAGGAAGCCTGTGGATTTTTGGAAGATGAAAGGTTTGGAAAGGTTTCACAGACAACAACTTTTGGGAACGTCTTGCAACCCTTCTAGACTGTAATCAGCCATTTGAGTCTAATCTAAATTTGGAACAGTGCATCCATGCAGGAAACGTGCATTGTCCCACTGTCCGCGTCTCTAAATGGAAATACCGAATGACAAGTGCTATTCAGCGTGAAAGGAGGCGCTGGCACAGACCAGTGAGCTCACGTCTGAGGAAACGAGAGGAGGTTCATAATTGAGTCTGACTTGTAGTTTCCACTTTTCAATGTGTTCTTTATTCACCTGCAAGACATGGTTAGCCCCACCCTGCTCAAGCCACGTTAAAAACAGGCACACCCTGCACTTTAGCATAGAGCACACACACACACACACAGACACCCTAACACATATGTAACAGCTATAACAAAAACCACATTATCCCATTACTGTCCAAATCCAAACATGAACGCTGCGACTCCAGCACAGACAGATTCTAGCAGATAAGGTTGTATAAATAAGCTCACATGAGATTAATTAGAGACAAACATCTGGTCACAGCTAATCCCAGCATGCACAAGGAGCTGGAAAGATGGGTTCCATTCAGGAGGCCCGATGTTCCAAAAGCATCATCACCATCAAACTGAGCATGATGAGGTCTCTAAGGTCACCTAAAAACAAATCTGTGTGTGTGGGTCTGCGTCTGGACTGGAGCGTCGACATGCCACAGAGGCAGAGAGCTGAATTTCCTGGTGGTTAATTTTGCTAAACAAATTGTTGTGACTTGTGTCAATAACACTACTTTTTTAGTATTTTAAAAACTTAAATCCAGCCATGTGCATGTCGTGAGCTAACGGTTTTCACTGGATTATAGAAGTTTATACTGCAGCGGGATGGAAACTGTGACACTGACTTGAAGTAAACTCTGCTTCCTCATAAAACATGAAGTCACCCAGAGCAACGGCATGGCTCTGCAGGTTATTGAATTTGGTGTTCAAGGGAAGATTATCTTTTACTACAAACATTAGAGGCAAATAGGTGAAAATCTGTGATTAGTTTCACTATTTAAATTAGATCAGAAGAGAATTTAAAATAGAAATGACAGATAATAAATATAACTAGAAAGGAAATAGTTTATCGTTTTTAATTTAAGGGCTTAAAGCCATGCAAATAACTAAGTGGGAGTAATTAAAAACAAAGAAAAGTATGATTACATGTAAAGACTAATCACTGGATTAAAGAAAGGCACAATAATCTTCCAAAAAAGCTGCTCACCATAGAGGGCCTTTGCGCTCATCTTGCTGTTGGATCTGGCCACTCCACTGCAATGACAAGAGCAGGAGACGGGGTTACGCTGCACGCCCTTCATCGTTCACTCCCAAACTCCTGGATGCCACAAATGGCTCCACGTCTCATAAACACAAAGACCCACAAATAATACGAGCGATGTGCAGAGAACGGACTGTCCAGCACTGGAGTACAAGCATATGGAGCAGAGGGGGAGAAAAACAGGGAGAGCGGAAAAGAGAGAATGGGGGGGGGTGGGGGGGGGCAGGAGCTAAGGCAAAGCAAACAACTCAACAGAGCTGCTCTGTTGCCCAAAATCCCTGACCCACATCACCTTCTATGTACTGGGTTAGTGATTTCTCCTGTTCCTGCTCGACAGCCGCTCAGCACACAGGAAGGTAAATATCTGGTGAGGAGCAGCAGGAATGTGTGTGCAACTCACTTGGCTTGCCTCGACAGAGGTCCTGGGACACTCATGATTTCAGGCATTCACCTGTGAATCAGGAGAGGTAATTAAAGGCCTGACATTCCTGGAACATCACCTGCTGGTTTACATAAACAAGGACAATGAGAAATGTTAGGACCATCTTTTATCAAATAGTGGAAAAGACTTAAGTTTGGTCTCATGCAACATCGCTTGATCTCATTTTTGTATATTCTAAGGGCAGCCATCTTGAATTGAATCCCGTCCTAAAGTTATTCAGTAGTAGCATGCATGAACTAAGGACTTACTGAGAATTTAACTCAAATATTTCTGGTTCTTTGGATATTTGCTACCAAACACTGTCAGAAACGGTCCAACAACAAAGGCTCAGACAGACAACTTTTAGATCTGAGACCTAAAAAATCCATGCAGGAAATATGAAGCACAACATTATGACCAGCTCAGAGAGAAAAACTCAAACAAACCTTCACACATTAACTCAGATTTATTTAAGACCATAGTAAGTAACTAACTCCCTGGAAAATTCACAGCGATCCTGATAATAAACCTGTTCTATAAATTCTCAGCTGCAGGTCAACCTAATTGGCTGCACCAGAAATGAAAAGCTAAAGTCCCGGCAGGACTTAGCCGTATCTTCTATAAAGACTGATAAACAGAGCAGCATGATTACCTGTGTTTTTAAAGAAAACACAAAAGGACCCAAAGGTGAAAAACTGCACAGCAAAGTTACGTAGCTCGTTCCTGAATGAGAGGTTACGTTGCAGAATTTTAAATCTGGGTTTTTCCTAAAGGTGTGGGACACTCGTTTATTCAGTACATTAGCAGTGGTTTTTAGTAAGAATGAATGCCTTGTAAGTCATTCTCTGGGAGAAAAAAATACCAGTACACCTTTTCCAGGATCTAGAAGTGACCACATCACTGCAGAGCTTCAGGCAACAGGAGTCTCATTTTCCAATATGTGAACACCTCGCCCCAGATTAGATAACAGCAATGCGACTTTACCACTGACTTGCAACGTGGAAGTTTTATCTCCACAAATAACACAAGCCTGGACCAACTTCTGCTGTGTGTTGGTGTTGCTGATGCTAACGGTTAGCTTAAACTAGCCTAACCTTCTCTGGTGTTTGCTGGACACTAAAACAATAGCCTTCCCTTTCGTGAGTCAAGATGGTGACTCAATGAGCGTGACGTAGAGCTTTCAGGCTTTTCAAATCAGTATCCCAACAACATCCAAAACCACCAAATAGTTCCCGAGCACAGCCACAGCTGCAGCGCACCGCTCACCACAGAGATGGGTGAAATGCAGAGGTGTAATTTCACCAGTGAGTGATTATGACTCACCAAACTTTAACTGTAACAATGACTAATGATTTAGGTCAGGAGGTCACTGTTGTCATGAACGTGTGTTTGTGTAGTAACAGCCTCAGTTTACTTAAAAAAACATCAGCAGAATTTATCACGTTATTTATCTGGATACAAGCTTGTATGCAGTTTCCACCAGTATATTACTAATCCCTTATAATATTTTGCTTCAATTTATTTATAAAGAGTCATAATTATTTTTTATTTATCAGCAGTATTAGTTTTCATATTTCAAAATTACTATATTTCTGACAATAATTGTTCCTTTTGATCATCGATGCATCAGGTCAAGCCTCAACAGCAGACGCTCTTTCAACGCATCGGGCTGATTTCTTCTCAACCCTCTCATGAATAAGTTTTGATAAAAGGACGAACAACTAAGTCCTTCAGGGGTACTTGTGAGTTAAAAATGCTCATGAAATATGTATGTGGAGTAACCAGGTAGGTTTTAGTGTTGCAAATCTGAGACGCCTGCCTCCAGAGGGTTAAAAGTAGCAACTTCATATTTTGACCCATTTGTAGGAACTTTATCAGAAACTTCTTATTCTGCTACAAATTTAATCTAAACACAGTTTTTTGCTTCAACAAATCATTACGTGGGTTCTCTCCGGCTTCCTCCCACAGTCCAAAAACATGACTGTTAGGTTAATAGGTGCAGGTGGATCACTGACTTCCTGACAGACCGTAGGCAGTGCGTGCGGCTGGGGAGGAATGTTTCCACCACTAAGACAATTAGCACAGGATCTCCACAGGGCTGTGTACTTTCTCCTCTGCTCTTCTCCCTGTACACAAACTGCTGCACGTCGAGCCATGACTCAGTTAATCTGATCAAGTTTGCGGACGACACCACCCTCATCGGGCTCATCTCTGACGGTGATGAGTCCGCCTACAGGAGGGAGGTGGAACGGCTGGTGTACTGGTGCAGCAGCAACAACCTGGAGCTCAATGCTCAGAAGACAGTGGAGATGATTGTGGACTTCAGGAAAGTAACAGCCCCATCTCTCCCCCTCGTCCTGACGGACACCCCCGTCACCACTGTGGACTCCTTCCGCTTCCTCGGAACCACCATCACACATGACCTTAGGTGGGAGCCATCCATCAGCTCCCTGATCAAAAAGGCCCAGCAGAGGATGTACTTTCTGCGGCAGTTGAAAAAGGCCAAGCTGCCAGCCCAGATGATGGTGCAGTTTTACACGGCCATCATTGAGTCCATCCTCACCTCCTCCATCGCTGTGTGGAGCCACAGTGAGGGACAAACATAGACTGCAGCGCATTGTGCGCTCTGCTGAGAAGGTGATTGGCTGCAGCCTTCCATCTCTCCAGGACCTGTACGTCTCCAGAACTCGGGGGCGTGCAGGTCGGATAGCAGCTGACCCTTCGCACCCGGGTCACAGACTTTTTGAGCCGCTTCCCTCAGGCAGGAGGTTACGGTCCATCCGGACCAGAACCTCCCGCCATAAGAACAGCTTCTTTCCGTCTGCCGTTAGACTTGTGAATAGATTATAAACACACAACCATGCTCATCTTCTGTACTCGACACAAAGTCACGTTATCGGCCATGTTACCATTACCTGCCATTTTTTATAGCTGAAAGTTTTATTCTAGTTTTTTTTTATTCTATTTAATTCTATTTTTAATCTTATTATTCATGTTATATGTAGCACATTAGTACCGAAGCAAGTTCCTAGTTTGTGAATTGTTTGTTCACTGACAATGGCAATAAAACTTTTCTGATTCTGATTCTGAACTGGTCTGTCTAAAATGTCCTTAGGTGTGTGTGTGTGTGTGTGTGTGTGTGTGTGTGTGTGTGTGTGTGTGTGTGTGTGTGTGTGTGTGCGCATGGTTGTTTGTCCTGTGTGTCTCTGTGTTGCCGTGCGATGGACTGGCTCTCTGTCCAGGGTACCCCGCCTGATTGCCCATTGACCGCTGGAGATAGGCACCAGCCCCCACCACCCCACCCCACCTGCGACCCTGCATGGGCAAGCCAGTTCGGAAAATGGATGGAACAAATCATTATGAAATACAGTCAAATACAGTTAAATACATTTCCAAGGCCTCCAGGGTAGGAGAGAGAAAAAACTGTTTCTTGTTTGGTTTACAGATAAAGTAAAAATTCAAGACTGAGTCATCCTCACAGCCTGTTCTTCCACTGAGACAGGTGTCGGTCCAGGTAGTTGGGGGAACTGCTCGAGGTCAAAAGCAGACAGCAGGTCGACAATCTGCCCTCTGTGTAATTAGATCCAGTATTTTCAGGACTACATCTGCATAACTAGTTCACTTTGATGGGGGTTTCACACTAACTATTTGATTAGCACTGCTGCCATGGCCTCCACGGAGACAATAATAAAACACTAAATCTGAGATTAAAGGAGCTGGAGAAAAAGGAGGAAACAAAACTCTCACACCTTTTCCGCCTGGAGCGTCTGGCTTGGGTTTCGATGCATGAACAGACAGGTTAGTGTCAGGTCTAGGGTGTATGGATTATACATTACAACAGCATAGCTTCTAACTGGTCACACATAGCATGGCTGCTAAGTGTCTGTTAATCACTAAAGTGAACTGCACTTAATGTTCAAGATAATAATCACCTGATATGACTTTTAAACTCCACAGAGCAATGTGCTGCAGCAGAGTCTGTTAGGATAATTTATTCATGGTGAGAGATTAGGATCCTGTGTCACCAGCAAGTATGTTTCAGTTATGTAACGAGTCTATTTGGGGGTTTGGTCGCGTCTCCCAGCAAAGCCAATAGGACATGAATGACCTCTTCCTAGAAACACACACTTCTCATAACCTAACTGTGTTTTAAAAATAACCCTTCAGAGTTTAAGTTGAAGTGAAATCAGTGATGGAGGACTTTTATCTCATGAGGTCATCTCGTCTCCGTGCTGTCCATGGGTCTGGCCTGCAGCCAGCGTTCAGGAGGTGCTGGAGGCCAAAGGAGGACAGGATGGGTGTCATGTGTTGGTGTGTTCTTTGGCCATCCGTGCATCACTTCTCACCCCTCTGCAGGTGCTTATTGTCAATTCATGATCTCTTATTTACAGAGATAAATAAGACAATAATTGCCTAAACAAATAAAAGGAATAAGTTCTGTTGGGCCTTACTTTTATTTAGACAACACAGGATTTCAAGTGGATTTAAGTCATGACTAATACCGGTTTAATTATCATTCTGTTTGGGACAAACTATCAGAGCACGAGTGCTAGTTTAGTTTGGATCACTTTAGAGACACAAAATGAGAATAAAATTTGCGGTGTAAGTTTCTGATTTTTTATGGATTAACAAAAATATTTATTTCATGGAGCATTTCACAGAATGCTCGTGATATTTTGCATGGTGTCACAATTGTTTTACACAACAGATTTCATGCAAAAGCTCAAGGCTGATGCCACAAACACCAGAGATATTTTACTTAAAGGCTCAATGATAGCTTTAACGCTGCACATATTATAGGCTTCAGCTCAGAGAAATGCAGCACGCCGCCCAACCTGCATGAATCACCGCTGACAGGCTGGTCATGCAGCCGATCAAACTGCAGGACCAGAAGGTTCTGACAGAGATAACTTCTGTAATCTGCGTGAAAATCTGATCGTACCCTGAGCAAATCTGGACTTTGTACCATGCCCCTCCAATGAACAGTCAGCGATAACACGGTCCGATTCTTTAGCTGTTCCAAAAGCTAGAGGTGCCATTAAAGCCAGTAGGATTCATGCATTAGCAGCTGGTTGTTCATTAAAACCTAACAACACCACTTTCCTCTGATCACAGAGCTAATTAGGGACCGTGTGTCAAATCAGAGGCTCAAATGAATGATAAAAAAGCACATTTTCAGAACAAAGGGATTATTGCATCAAAGGCAACAGATTCATATAATCTACATGATAAGCTCCTACATAAACATCCTCGTAACCTCATTTAACTGTCTCTATTTTGAATTATAGAACCAAACCACAGCAATCGTGTACATTTGTTCATTTTGAATGATTTTCTGTTAATATTTAGCTGTAGTTTAACCTTTAAAAGGAATTCCAGGAACAGAATGCCAATATCACTTGTAAGTCGCTTTGGACAAAAGCGTCTGCTAAATACATAAACATAGAATGAGGATAGAAAACAACTCAGTTTAGTTTGAAATCAATCAGAATTACAAACTCCGTCTTTGTTATTTATTTACCAGGTTTTATACAGGGTGCGTTCTAAATCCTGAGTTTCATTTTGATTTAAAACAATAATAGTTGTGTTGTCCTTCAGACAGCTGGGCACACAGATCTTTGCACTTAAGCTGATTAATACAGATATATAACTTATTGATTACAACAGTTTATTTTTTTACTGGATCTGAGCAGCACAATTAAAGCTCTCTTCCTTTTGCAAACATTTTATGGGCAAACAAAGGTCCAGATTAAAAGCACAGGCACACCTTGGGTTATAAATGGAGTGCGCAAATCATCTGATAAAGCATCAAGGGTTTGTTTACCCTTAGCCTGCTTCCAAACACGAGACACAACATCAGGATTTTTAGATGAGCATAAATTTAAATATCAAAAGGAGAAGAATTTGAACAATAAAACGGGAAAAACCTTTATAAAGTGTTGCAGTTTGAAGGTCAAACTTACCAAACTGTCTCAGGTGAATCGTTGGGATTTACTGTGGTGTCTTAATCCGATCTGGATGCTCAGGTGAGGTGGGCACACGTGGGTGACGTCAGCCTGCCATCCACACTGCCCGGACACCGAATCCCTCCTCGGGGGGATTCTCTCAGTAGTAGTGACCTTTGGTTTGAAGGCAGACACGTCCTGGGATCATAAATGAAACACTTGTCTAGCGCTGTCGGATCTCAGAGTCACTGAGGGGGTGAGGCGGATCAGGGAAGTGCTATTGGCGTGCAGGTAATTCAACCTGGAAGGGGCGTGGCTAAACTGTGACTTTGTTTTAAAGGCCTTGTAAGAGCTTCTGGAGTTGGGGGCGGATCCTTTGTCTCAGTTTGATTGGAAGAAGTTTTATTGACAAAAGGGGAGTTTCTGTTTAGTTTTTTTCTAAAAGTTGGGCAACATTTCCTAAATATAAAAATCTGACCTAGTAGGCTTTTTTAAAAATAAAAGCTCACATTAGGACACTTTGAAGGATCCCATCTTCAGCGACAAGGTGGACCTTCACAAGTATTCCTTATGAGCAAAAACCATAAAATAACTACTTCTCAACACAAGATTAGTTTCTAGCAGGAAATCTGGTGGTTAAAGAAGTACTTTTGATCAAATATATAACAAGTTTCATTTTAAATGTATAAAACCTTCGTTTGGGATCCTTAGGAAGATGCTGACCCCAAGTAGAGGAGCCTGTGTTGTGTATATATGCTGGGATTACATTCCCAAATAGTTCAGTAGTGAGATCATGTTATTATCATCCATATTATTTTCTGTACTGAAGACAATGACTGCCTTAAGCTTGCTGGATTCCTGAGCCTGACTGATTGAAGAGTGAGCAACAGAAAGGAATGTTGCCCAGATTTCAGTATAACTCCACAAGTCTTGGTTCTGTCAACATCTTGCAGGTTTTTTGCAAACAATTTCAAAAATAAACAAAAGACTAAATGTCAGAAAACCCCTCAGGACAATGGCGTGGCTGATCTACAGTGTGTTGCTCAACCACAGATGTGTCATTTGTTTTGAGAGTGGTTACTTTGGGAACCTTGGTCTGGGGTTTGATCATTAACTTCAGCTGTCAGGGCTGAAACATCACCTGTTTGGTGAAAGTGGAGAGTCACACAGAGTAAAAGTCAAACACTGACAGGTGGGGCAGCGCTGACTTAAAAAACGTTGACAAGTCAGCACTTTTTTTGGTGTTGTTTTTGGTCGATACTCATGTTTTTGTGGGTTTAGTGTTGTGCGAAAGTGCAAAATGGAGCTAGAATTAGTTGTTATGTACACACAACCATGACCAAATCCCAATTTACAATAATACTTCCAAACTGACATAAATACACATTAATATAATATTTTTAAATGTACTTTAGAGAAATGAACCCTTTGCCTGGCTGGTAGCACATATCTAAAGTCTCTACATCACATCGAAGCATTAAATGAACTTAAGAAGAAAAAATTAGTAAAATAAAAATATTTTAAAGAACATGGAGTTGTTGAAGAAAATGCATAACATAACATTTAAATTAGCCTTACTAATTGTTATGAATATTATTAATTTAAATTAAACTAAAGCCCTTAAAGAGGAATTCTTGCATCGCTTTTGTTCTTATAGAGGAAGTCAAAGGGTTGAAGCACATTTCAGTCAGTTTTGGTTCCACTTCATATTTATTATTAAAACAATTCTACCCTCTACTGGACAAAACTGGTAAAAATATATTTTGATGTCTTTTTTTTAATAGTAAAAACATGTAGAAAATCAGCAAGTTCAGTTGTACCAAACAAGATGATGAATAACTTCTTCATGAGTAGACACTGAAAGACACAAAGAACAGCACAATAAGGTTAGTCACTGCAGTGAATTTAACGTCCATTAAATATGTGACTAAATAAACTTGAAATCAGTCCACCTTGTAAATAATATCACATTGAACCATGTTCCTCTACTGTGAGCGGTGATTTATTCTTTCCTCTACTTCAATAACAATTTTATTTACTTAATTATTTATCAAGACCGGATTTGACTCCATCTTGGAATGAAGATTTGAGAATGCGGCGACTCTCTTTGAGGTATACAGCATTACTTGAATGAATGGGATCCATATTAATAATGCAGACGCGTCTTCAGTGGAAGCAGGGTTTCTTTCTTCCGTTAACAATAGGGTGAAAAACACAAACGTATGAGATGCTAATTACGTCTTTATATCACATCAGTCAAAACAACCGATGCCTGTCTCCTCACGAGATAATGAAGTTTTTATTTGATTGACAACAAATACTTTTTATGTCAGAGGATGTTGCCCCTGGCAACTACTTTGTAACATGTATACACATAAAAATGTATGCACTTTAATAATAAAACAGAAATAATTAATATCCCAAATGGTTGCATTGATGATTTCTTATTAGTGGATATTTTTTTCATGTTGACACTTCAATGTGGGAGACACAGCTGCAGAGAAGTAAGTGATACCAACCTTGCAAGTCTGGTTAAAACCAGCACTCCATCTAAGCCGTAGACAACCACTAAGATGCTGCTGATGATTTGGTCTATGAACATCACGTAGGACTGCCACACCAGGAAATAGACCGTCAACAATATAGTTGGAGCCGTAACAACGAGGTTACCCAGGATGTAGCTTTTGCTTTCCATTAGGTTACCTTTAACACCTGCAGACATGGGCAGATGGTCAGTAAGTTACACTGTTACTCAAACTTTTGACTTTTTTTTTTTGTTCTTCATGGAAACACACTTGAAATGAGTAAATATAGTAATGAACAGGACATGTAGACATTTTCAGAGTTATAACTCAAGATTTTTTTGTGAAAGTGATGAATATTTTCTTTAAACCTTTCTTTCACAAAAAGATAAATAAAACAATAGCAGCAATGCCGGCGTGGCAGACCTGGGGAATTCTGTTGGATTTTTTAAGTAATCTGATGAGACTTTACCTCAGAAATGTGCTGGCTGCTTGTAGCTGTCGCTGTTGAATGTGTTTAATTTCTCTGTATAAGTAAATTGAGATGTTTAAAAAAGGATATTTTATTTTAAATGTTTTGGTCACATTGATGCCACCTTCTGGTAGACATGAGAATTGCCAGTTAAAGTGAGCGCATTTCAGTTGAGCTGCACATTCGATCAGGACTGGAGAGGCAGCAAAGAGTCAGCAAGAGTCAAGAAAATGTGAAATATGGACCACAATTGCTCCTGAATGTTGGGTAGAAAGGTGCACACGGTATGTTTATGTATCTCATTATGTGTGTATGTTTTATATGGATGGCAAATTCATTTTACTTAGAAAGTATCTGTGTTTTTATTGTGTATTTCATAGTAGTTTTATGTTTATGTATCTCACTATGTGTGTGTTTTATTTGGATGGCAAATTTATCTTACTAAGAAAGTATCTGTGTTTTTATTGTGTATTTCACGGTGTTTGCTGGTTAAGAAGAGATTAAACTACAGGTTGAACATCAGTTGGAAAATGGCCTTTATTCTACACCAAATATCAAATGAGCCTCGGGAGCCGTTACACACTGCTCGATAACAGAATTCAGATTTCTGGATGACTGACTGAAGACTGCCCAGATGAATACTGTAGGAGCAGCTAAACTGTGTATTGTGTGGGAGATGCTCATAGAGTAAACGGATGACCTTTAGATTTGGTACATTACTGTGTCGACCCTTTATTTCAGTGATATTGCAAGTTATGGATTGGTGTGTCTTTAACAAATTATCATTAACCTGATTCAACAATACAAAGTATTTGAAATATTCTATCAATTTGTTTCTTTAATGATGTCATGAAGGTCAAAAACGAGGTTGCTGACTGGTTTATTTATTTACTAAAACAGTATATGATGAGTTGCATTCAGTAAATTGTGAGCAGAATTTGTGCTAGATCTTTAACTTGTGTAAAGTGTGAATATTGTACTCACCACAGAAGAAATGGAGAAGCTCCAGAGCAGCCAGGAGGAGCAGCAGACAAACATCACAGACCAGAGCGTCAGTAGGATACGACAGCATCAAGCCTGATGTCAACAGACACATCCATGTGTTTACAATCTCATAAATCACTTGTAATATCATTGTGAACGACCACTTACTCTTTTTGATCAGCAATCCGAGAGTAAAGAGGAAGTAGAAGACAAAGTAAACGCCGGTCAGGTAGAGCAGCAGCTGCAGAATAACAGAAGACAGCTGGGTGCAGCGTTAAGCATCATTTATCACACAAGGGGACAGTTACTATTGGCCAGAGCGTCGTGTGTTTATGGCTTTAAGCTCAAAAGGATACCAAACCCGCGGACCTTCCTGCAGGAAGGTAAACAGAGATGAAATTAGATTCAACATTGTAAACAAAAACACGAGTAAGGCTAACATCTATACGTCTTTTTCTCTCGCTTATATCCTTAATAGTGACTATATAAAAGGTTAAAAGCAAAAGAGTTTCTATAACCATAGCAACGCGTCCACCCACCATGTCCGGGGATCTCCATTTTGTTTTTTCTCTTTGAATCTGTAAACGCAAACGTCTCCATCTAGTGGTCGGAAGATTAACTACAACCTACAATAGTGTTTTTTTTTTTGTTTAGTTTTTTGTTTTATTTCGTAAATTTACAAACAAACATGGCACTTTGACAATGTTAAGTCCAAAACTTAAATTCAAAAGGAGCAGTTAAGTTGCTATAAAATTTGTAAATAACCATTAAAAAGACAACAACAAGAGACGAAAGAACACAAAGAACAAGTTGAGTACAGCTTTCAATGAGTGTACAGCATTTATCATTTAGAATTAGGAAATTGCTTTGGAAGTTCAGCTAATACGTTATATAGATTTTTGCTATATTTGTTCAGGTGTTTCAGGGATTTTAAATATAATTGAAATTCAATTAAAAAACATTGAAGACAGGGGATGATTGTAAAAGTTGTTCTTTATGGATAAAAAATTTGGCTAAACAGAGAATGATGTTATAGCAGAGTTCTTTATCTTTATCACTGAATATAATTCCAAATATTATCATATCTTTAGTGATGTGAACTGAGAGGGGTATCTTAGTTTTGATCCACACCTCTAGCTTTTTCCAGAACAATTGTGTTTTCTGACATTCATAAAATATATGATCTATAGTTTCTATGTGATTTTCGCAAAAAGAGCAGTTGTTGCTATCAATATTAAAACGAGCTCTCAATAATTCTTTTGAAGGATACATTGCATTCATTATTTTAAAGTGGGTTTCTTTAGCTTTTGGTGGTATAGGTAATTTTAGGTAGATAGTTCTTATTTTCTCAACAGATGTTTTATCAAATTTGTAAATTATGTTATTTTTGATTGTTTTTCCAGGAAATAGAGAATTATTTAAGGCTGATCTTATTGTAAGATTGTTGCATTTTCTGTCAGTTAACAGAAGACCTTTAATAGATAAGATAGGAAGGATTGGGATAGAACATTGATGTTTTAGATATTCTCGGGCTTGGATGATAAATTGATTTAGAAGTGCATTATGTAACCTGTTAAAGTCAAGTTCAGAAGCTTTAAAATTGTATCTTCTGCAGACATTGTCATAATTCAAGAGCTGACCATCTACATCAGGGGTGTCAAACTCATTTTAGCTCAGGGGCCACATTGAGGGAAATCTAGTCCCAAGTGGGCCAGACCAGTAAATTAAAAACAACTTCAGATTGTTTTCTTTGTTTTAAAACAATCGATATAAAAAAAGCTGGAGCCTGAGGACGGTGTATCCAAAATAGTACAAGTACAACACCTGAAGTGTACTTGAAAATTAAAAAAACATTCCTTAGTGATTCAAAGAGCTTACAGATAACATGGAAAGATCAGTTTCATGCAGCACTTAAAGTATATTTGACTCATTTTACTTTACATCTTTTAGTTTTCACCAGCACATCAATATCAGAACTCACATCCTGAGTGGCGGCTAACTTCAGGATGTGATTCAAGTTCTTGTGCGAGCCTTGAGCGCAGCTTTGTTTTATTTATACTCATTACAGAGGAAACTTGCTCACAAAGATAAGTTTATTTTCACTCTACATTGTAAAGTATGAAAATAAAGTTTACACAACCATCTCGCGGGCCGGATTTAACACGCTTGCGGGCCGGATCCGGCCCGCGGGCTGCATATTTGACACCCCTGATCTACATCCATTAAGTGTACAATAGACCATTTATTGTTATCTAACCCATCTTTATAGAATAGTGATTTGTTTTGGTGCAATATAAATTGATTGTTCCAAATGATTATAGAGTGTGGTGAGTTGGATCAGATGGCAAGGGAACATGCCGCGTAGACCTGGCAGACCCAAACGCATAGTGAGGGTCTGCTGGGAACGCCTGGCAGAAGAACCTGTCAAGACGGTCTTCATCTCCCACCTCCGGCAGAGCTTTGACCACGTCCCGAGAGCAGTGGGGGACATTGAGTCCGAGTGGGCCTTGTTCCACTCTGCGATTGTCGAGGCGGCTGTTGCTAGCTGTGGCCGTAAGGTGGCCGGTGCCAGTCGTGGTGGCAACCCCCGTACCCGCTGGTGGACACCAGAGGTTCGGGGAGCCGTCAGGCTGAAGAAGGAGGCCTACAGGGCGTGGCTGGTCTGTGGGTCTCCGGAGGCAGCAGACAGGTACCGGATAGCCAAGCGGGGTGCAGCAGTGGCAGTTGCCGAGGCAAAAATCTCGGGCGTGGGAGGAGTTTGGTGAGGCCATGGAGAAAGACTATCGATCGGCTCCAAAGAGGTTCTGGCAAACTGTCCGGCGCCTCAGGAGAGGAAGGCAGCAACTCGCTCACACTGTTTACAGTGGGGATGGGGAGCTGCTGACGTCAACTGAGGCTATAGTCGGACGGTGGAAGGAATACTTTGAGGAGCTCCTCAATCCCACCAATGCGCATTCCGAGGAGGAACCAGAGCTGGGAGGCCTGGGGATGCACTGTCCGATCTCGGGGGCAGAAGTTGCTGAGGTAGTCAAACAACTACACAGCGGCGGAGCCCCGGGGGCGGATGAGGTTCGTCCTGGGTATCTCAAGGCTATGGATGTTGTAGGGCTGTCATGGTTGACACGTCTCTACAACATTGCGTGGTCATCGGGGGCAGTTCCTAGGGAGTGGCAGACCGGGGTGGTGGTCCCCATCTTTAAGAAGGGTGACCTGAGGGTGTGTTCCAACTATAGGGGGATCACACTCCTCAGCCTCCCTGGAAAGGTCTACTCCAAGGTACTGGAGAGGAGGGTCCGATCGATAGTTGAATCTCAGATAGAGGAGGAGCAATGTGGTTTTCGTCCTGGCCGTGGAACTGTGGACCAGCTCTATACCCTTGCAAGGGTGATGGAGGGGGCATGGGAGTTTGCCCAACCAATCCACATGTGTTTTGTGGATTTGGAGAAGGCTTATGACCGTGTCCCCAGGGGCACCCTGTGGGGGACACTCCAGGAGTATGGGGTGGGTGGCTTTCTGTTAAGGGCCATTCAGTCCCTTTACCAGAGGAGCGTGAGTTTGGTCCGCATAGCCGGTAGTAAGTCGGACCTGTTCCCAGTGAGGGTTGGACTCCGCCAGGGCTGCCCTTTGTCACCGGTTCTGTTCATCACTTTTATGGACAGAATTTCTAGACGCAGCCGTGGTGTGGAGTGTGTCGAGTTTGGTGGCAGGAGAATCTCGTCTCTGCTTTTTGCGGATGATGTGGTCCTCCTAGCTTCATCCAGCTCTGACCTTCAGCTCTTGCTGGGTAGGTTCGCGGCCGAATGTGAAGCGGCTGGGATGAGGATCAGCACCTCCAAATCTGAGACCATGGTTCTCGACCGGAAAAGGGTGGCTTGCCACCTCCAGGTCGGGGGAGAGGTCCTACCTCAAGTGGAGGAGTTTAAGTATCTCGGGGTCTTGTTCACGAGTGAGGGTAGGAGGGATCGGGAGATCGACAGGCGGATTGGTTCGGCGTCTGCAGTGATGCGGACGCTGAGCCGATCTGTCGTGGGGAAGAGGGAGCTGAGCCAGAAAGCCAGGCTCTCGATTTACCGGTCGATCTACGTCCCAATCCTCACCTATGGTCATGAGCTTTGGGTAATGACCGAAAGAACGAGATCGCGGATATAAGCGGCCGAAATGAGTTTCCTCCGTAGGGTGGCCGGGCTCAGCCTTAGAGATAGGGTGAGGAGCTCGGACATTCGGGAGGGACTCGGAGTAGAACCGCTGCTCCTCCGGATCGAAAGGAGCCAGTTGAGGTGGTTTGGGCATCTGGTCAGGATGCCTCCTGGACGCCTCCCCGGGGAGGTGTTTCGGGCATGTCCTGCCGGCAGAAGGCCCCCGGGTCGACCCAGGACACGTTGGAGAGGTTACATCTCCAATCTGGTCCGGGAACGCCTTGGGGTCCTGCCGGAGGAGCTGGTGGACAAGGCCGGGGAGAGGACGGCCTGGAGCTCCCTAGTTGGTATGCTGCCCCCGCGACCCGGACCCGGATAAGCGGAGGAAGACGAGACGAGACGAGACGAGACGAGACGAGTGTGGTGAGTAGTTATGTACTATTATTATTATTATTTGTACTATGTAGTATTATATAATTTTCCAATACAGTAAAATTTGTTTATGGAACTCTGAAAGTTTAATGGGGAGTTTGTTTATATTGTAGTCAGTTAGGAGAAGAATTTTTAAGCCACCAATTTTGTTAAAGATGTAATTGGGGATACTATGCCAAAAGACGTCTGGGTGATTGAACCAAAAATTTAACCAGTTAATCTTTAGGGTGCCATTAAGACATTCAAAGTCAATGACCTTTAAACCTCCATCTTTTATTTCTTTAGTCATATGGGCCTTTTTAAGGTAGTGTGGTTTGTTTCTCCAAATAAAGTTAAAGTTTGTTTGATTTATTTTTTTTAATTAGGTAGTTTGGTAAGGCAAGGTTACAGGTTGGGTAAACTTATCTTGATAAACATTCCATTTTGGTGAGATAGATACGACCTAGAATAGAAAGATCATGTTGGAGCAACAGGTTAAGTTTAGAATTTCCTTCTTTAAGTTTATTTTCAAAGTTTAAGACTGGATTAAGTTTAGGGTTTTTGTTAATGGTCACTCCTAGATATTTAATCTCAGATTTTATAGGGATATTATGTATTTCTTTTAACAGTGTGTCATGAATGGCTAGAAGTTCACATTTTTTTAGATTTAGGTTCAGACCTGAAGCATCAGAGAAGAGTTGACTCTTTTGGATGGCTACAGAAATTTGTTTAGAATCCTTTAAAAAAAGAGTGGTGTCATCTGCAAGTTGACTTATAATTAGATCAGTGCCTAGAACATTTAATTTCGCAATGTTATCATAATTTTTTAAATACAATGCCAACATTTCGGTAACCAGAATGAAGAGGTATGGTGAGGTTGGGCAACCTTGTGGGATTCCAACATTAATATTAAATGTAGGGGTGGTGTTTTTTGGTAGGATGACACAGCTGTTTATGTTGTCATATAGGCCTTTGATTAAGTTGATAAAGTTGTTACCAAACCCCAGGCGTTCTAAGACTAAGAAGATGAACTGATGTTCTACAGAGTCAAAGACTTTGTAAAAGTCTAAGAAAAGTATGAATC